ATGATGCCAAGCACATCTCTGGTCGTTTTCTTTGTGATGCCAAGCACATCTCTGGTCCCAGACGACCGTTTCTTGACAGTCCAGCAGTCGGTGATCGTCTAGTTCAGGACACCTGGCACATCGATGGGGAGTACTTGGTTAGGCGGCATGGCGTCCCACGACGAGCTCTGTTTACTCCTGCATGCGCTCTTGAGTGTCCGATTCCTCGAGAGCGTATCTCGTCGCAGCGAGTCACCAACATCAAGATTTTTTCTCGTCAAGGTGGTCCGCGTGTTCTTGAAGACGACTGGAAAAGATCATCGAGACCCTGCCAGGATTTGGAGTACCTTTGGACCGGATCGACTCGGTTCAAGATACTTCCGGAGACACCGGTCGCAGCTTTTTCGTCTACCTCCACAACGGCTGCGGACAACTTGGCGGAGATGGAGGTGCTGGACCCGGTGGCGTTTCCTTGCTACGGTGGCGACACCTTTCCCAGTCACTGGTCAGAGGAACAACGGGCCACAACTGCGAGACACTACAAGGCGATTCCTGAGGAGTTCTACACGAAGTCCGGTCGTCGTCCTATCACACCGGACAACATGGATGCCTGGCTTGCTGCGGTCAAACGGAGAAGGCTCAGGCTTCATGCCTGGGAATGGTTCAGCGGAAGTGGGCGTTTGTCTTTGTGCCTCCTCATGGCCAACATGATCGTCGGGCCACCCATTGACTACCGCTACGGCTGGGATGTTGCACATGCGCCACATCAAGCACTTCTTCAACGATGTCATGAAGTTCTCGCTCCTGCGCATCTCTTTGCATCTCCCAGCTGGTCGTCATGGATGACTGCAACGAATAAGGATCCTGAACTTCGTGAGCTAGACCGACGACCTGAACTTCCTGCAATACAATACTTGACAGAGACCTGTCTGATACAACGCCAGATGGACTGTGGTTTCACGGTGGAACAACCAGCAGGCTCTTCACTACTCAAGGAAAGTCCACTGCGGCGACTTTGTGACCACTCCGGCATAAAGACGGTTCGGTTTGATCAGTGTATGTTCGGGGCTCAGGATGAGGCCCAGCTTCCTCTTCGGAAGGCCACGTGCCTTCTCACGAACCGACGATGGCACAAGGTGATCAAGAGATGCGGCGGCCATCGCGGCAAGTCTCATGGCCAAGTCCAAGGGCGTCTTCGAGGTTGCAGTCGGACTGCCATGGCTATGGTCTTTCCGAAGCGGCTTTGCCAGGCGCTTTCTCAAGACCTTTGGACCAGTCTGCGCGCCGATGGAGCTTCGTCGTTTGCACCATGGCCCGTCTACCTGACAGGAGCTATCAATGTTTTCTACACCTGTGAGAGATGTCAACTCGGTCGTGCTGCTCCTCCTGGAAGTGAACATACTTTGGTTCCGGGTGAATGTCGCTATGGTCAACCATCTATGCGAGCAGCTCGAGCCCAGGCCACTGGCACCGCAGGCGCACCGGGTGCACCGCATCCTGGGGCTAGAGCATCTCCACAGGGCTCTTCTGGTGAGCCTGGCAGTTCTTCGTCAGCACCACCGCCTTTGGCACGTGACGACTTGGAGGACATCGCCGGCCCATTCAAGTTCTTAGCCCGGAGTGGCGAC